GGGTGGGGCTGGTGGTGGGGCAGGGGCGGGGCTGGGCAGCTGGGATGGGGGGACAGGGCTGGGAGGAGGGGGCACAGGCCCGGGGTTGGGCCACGCTGACCACTGCCCGCTCTAACCAGTCAGGGGACATCGAGATCGTGAACCATAAGACCAAAGACCGGTGCCAGATGAAGTTTGTGCCCTACAGCTACTTCTCCAAAGAGGCGGCCCGCAAGGTGAGCCGCAGCCCCGGAGGCCCCGGGCGGGGGGGGGGCGGGCGGAGGAGTGGGGAGGGCTGGGAGCGCGGCCTGCGCTAACGCGGGCCCTGCCGCGTCCACAGGTGACCGGGGTGGTGAGTGACAGCCAGGGCCAGGCCCACTACGTGCTGTCGGGCTCGTGGGATGAGCAGATGGAATGTTCCAAGATCGTGCACAGCAGCCCCAGCAGCCCCAGCTCCGACGGCAAGCAGAAGACCGTGTACCAGACCCTGCCAGCCAAGCTGCTGTGGAAGAAGTACCCGCTGCCGTGAGTTGGGGGTGGGGAACCGTCCTGGGGTTGTGGAGGAGAGGCCAGGGAGCAGGGGACAGGCAGAGGACCCCCCCCCCAGAAAAAAAATCCTGACCAGCTGGAAGGTCTCGGTCTGCGCATGCGTGCACATGGTAGGAGACTAAAATCATGCACTTGTCATTGCCGCAAAAGCCCCATGCCCCACAGTGAGCAAGCGTGAAACTCTCCGGTGGCCTCGGATCCTGGGCCAGACAGAGGCTCTTTAAAAGGTGACAGGACACCAGATGCCCGTGGCTCACGTCTATAATCCTAGCTATTTCAGGAGGCTGAGATCTGAGAGATGATTGCGGTTCCTTGCCTGAAAAGTCAGTGAGACTCCATTATCTCCAATACACCACCAAAAAGCCACAAGTGGAGCTGTGGTCCAAGCGGTAGAGTGCTGTCCTTGAACATTGAAAATATCTTACAGGGAGCTATTTATTTTAGAAAAAAAAAAACTAGCTGGGCACCAATGGCTCATGCCTGTAATCCTAGCTACTCAGAAGGCAAAGGTCTGAGGATCTCGGTTCAAAGCCAGCCTGGGCAAGAAAGTCCGTGAGACTCTAATCTCCAATAAACCACTTAGAAAACCGGAAGTGGCTTTGTGGCCCTTGTGTTGAACTGAAGAGTTCAGGGACAGCCCCCAGGCCCAGAGTTCAAGCCCCACAGCCAACAAAAAACAACCAAACAAAAAAGTATCATAGAAGATTGCAAAGAGAAGATCATGATGGAGACTGCACAGGAAATGAAGGCGCAATAGACGACATCTCTTGCATATATGACCACACTGCAGCAAAGATGAAGCCTGGGAGAGACAGCAAGTGAGGGAGAAAAAGCTTCACGTGACTCTCAGTGTCTCTGGACAGCCTCGCAGCTCAGCAAGTCAGACAGCACAGTTGAGTGTTCTAATCCAAGCCCCAAACAACAGAGGGTTTGTCTGGTTTTATTTTTTTAGAAGTACTGGACTTTGAACTCAGGGCTTTTTGATTTATTTTTTCAGATATGGTCTCCCATTTTTTATCTAAACTTGTCTCAAACTTTGATCATCCTATCTCCCCCTCCCAAGTAACTGGGGTTACAGGCATAAGCCACCACACCCAGGCCTAGCAGTTTTCTACATCTATTAAAGCAGCCCATTTATAGAAGATATTACATGGTGAGCACCAGAGCCCTCTTAGCTATTTTCAGCAATACTAAGAGCTGGAAGACAGCCAAATGATATATATCTTCCACATTTTGTTATCCCAATTTTATATAGTCTTTCAGACTAAGCAGAAAAAAAGAGAGAAAATAATCTTCACTTATATTCTGAAGCCAAAGCAACTCTTATACCAGACAAGCTAAGAGAGTGGTAGTAACAAAATTTCTACCTCCATTTGACTTCCAAAGCAAGATAACTGAAAATGCATCTCCTCATGTATAAAAAAGATTAACATTCTGTAATCATGTTTAATTTTTTTTCAGGGCATACTAGACTGATTTTAAATAGGCATTTACATATATACATGGACTCAAAAAATACATATGCTCTCACGTTTCTTAGAAAGTTAGCTGAAAAAAAAAACAAAACCAAAAACAACACATCTAGGAAACTACAGATTCATCCTGGAAATGTAGACCAGTCCTGATGAGTGGCAATACTACAGCACCTGAGAGCGAGGCCAAAGGAGACCCTTAAAAAATGGAAGTGGACAGAAATGACCCAAGAAGCTGGATGTGGCTTATGCTTGTAATCCTAGCTACTCAGGAGTCTGAAATGTAGACTAGGATTGAAGTTCAAAGCCAGTCCAGAGAGAAAAGTCCTCAAGACTCTTATCTCCAAAATAATCAAGAAAAAGCTAGGCAAGAGATGTAGCTCAAGTGGTAAATTACCAACTGTGAGCCAAAAGCTGTGCAAAAGCATGAGGCCCTAGGTTCAGGCCTAAGTATAAGCACAAAAGAAAAAAAGAAATGTACTTCCAGCCAGGCGCTGGTGACTCATGCCTATCATTCGAGCTACTCAGGAGGCTGAGAGCTGAGGATCACGGTTCAAAGCCAGCACAGACACAAAAGTCTGTGAGACACTTTTCTCCAATAAACTAGTCAGGAAAAGCCAGAAGAGGTGCTGTGCCTCAAGTGGTAGAGTGCTAGCCTTGAGCACAGAGAGGTTCAGGGACAGTGTCCAGGCCCTGAGTTCAAATCCCACAACTAACCAAAAAAAAAAGGGGGGGGATGGGCTTCCAATTAACCTATTATAGTCAAAGAAGATACAAAGGAAATCAGAACGTCTACCTGGCTGATAATGAAATCAACACATATCAAAAGTGGTAGGACACGGTGCCTGGAGACTGCGGCCTCAGCATTCCCGGGTTACAGTGAGCGCAGCAGCCCCCCCGACGTTAAAGAGCACGGCTTCCCCGCCAGCACAGGGCCCCGACTTCCAGCCCCGGGCTCCTCCCCGCGAAAGGGAAATGCAAAATGCATTGCAGCCCAGTGAAAGGAAAGCCAAAAGAGCAATCACTGGAGACCGAGGCGTCTGGGACGTGAGGGACGCATGCGCAGCAGCGTGCAGTGCAGGCCAGGCCGCGCCCGCGCCCTGCCGCCGCGGACCGAGTTCGGAGCCCAGCAGTGCAATGCGGCT